TAACAAAAGTATGTATGACTAGAGTCCCTCAAGCTCCACCTAATGTGTAAAATACTATAAAATTGGCCTAAGGGAGAGGGGATGTTAGGGAAGACATCACCGTGTACCACTCTGACCTCTGGGATCAGTCGACGGGCTGAGCCTCTCTTCCCCCCGCATCGGGACGCCTTTGGGTAAGAATCTAACACTTGGTTATACCAAGTGCCTCCGCGGGAAACTTAGAAACCTCTATAGAGTCGCTTTTATGTCTTTTGATGCATCTGTGTTATTCTAACCTTTGGTATTCGTAGGTGCCTTGCAGTCAGTGAATTTATCACCGGTAATCCAAAGAACCTGTGTGTCTGTTGCTTTAATAAATTGCTTTGATTTATTGGTCTAGCGTGATAGTGGTCATTGAACGCGACCACACACTTTAAGCATGGCCGTGATAGTTCATGCAGCACGACTAGACGAAAGGTGCCTACGTTATTTGTGAATCCGTAATCGTGATAGTTCAGTGTGCTGAACGCGACCGGACTTATAACGATAAATTGGGGACCTTCCAAAACCTCTCTTCACGCAACACTTGTCACACAGGTTTTCAAAGAAAATAGAACTTTTTGGCCAGTAAAGTTGCTGTTTCTGTCATGTTCATACAGCCTAGTACTCATCCGGTCCTCAGGGAATACAGGGTTTAATATAATGTCCAGGTTCCCTGACATATTTCATAGAACCATAGAATGCTTTGGGTTGGAAGGGACCTTTAAAGGACATCTAGCAGACCCCCCCTGCAGTGCCAGGGACAGCTTTAACCAGAGCAGGGTGCTCACAGCCCCGTCCAACCTGGCCTGGGATGTTCCCAGGGATGGGGCCTCCACTGCCTCTCTGGGCAACCTGTGCCAGTGCCTTATTACCCTCATCGTAAAGAATTTTTTCCTTATATCTAATCTAAGTCTACCCTCTTCCACTTTAAAGCCATTACCCCTTGTCCTATCACTACGTGCCCTTGTAAAAAGTCCCTCTCCAGCTTTCTCGTAGGCCCCTTTCAGGTACTGGAAGGCTGCTATGAGGTATCCCCAGAGCCTTCTCTTCTCCAGGCTGAACAATCCCAACTCTCTCAGCCTGTCCTTGTAGGAGAGGTGCTCCAGCCCTCGGATCATCTTCATGGCCCTCCTCTGGACTTTCTCCAGCAGGTCCACATCCTTCGTATGCTGGAGACTCCAGAGGTGGACGCAGGGCTGCAGAGGTGGGGTCTCACCAGAGTGGAGCAGAGGGGCAGAATCACCTCCCTCGACCTGCTGGCCACGCTTCTTTTGATGAAGTCCAGGATGGTGTTGGCTTTCTGGGCTGCGAGCACACATTGTTGGCTCATGCCCAGCTTTTCATCCCCCAGCACCCCCAAGTCCTTCTCGGCGGGGCTGCCCTCAATCCCTTCCCCCCCCAGCCTGTGCTGATACTGGGGGTTGCCCCGTCCCAGGTGCAGGACCTTGCACTTGGCCTTGTTGAACCTCATGAGGGGCACACAGCCCCACCTCTCCAGCTTGTCCAGGTCCCTTTGGATGCCATCTCGTCCTTCTGGCATGTCAACTGCACCACTCAGCTTGGTGTCGTCTGATATTTCTGGACTTCTTATTCTTTACTCTGTTTTTCTCCTTTTCCATTTTTCCTGTCTCTTCAATCTAACAGCTGATCAGAGGCAATTCACTTCCATCTGATAAGATGATGACAGTATTATTTTTCTTTTTTTTTTTTTCCAGCTATAATAAGTTTGCAAATCATGGAAATGAGCTGTAGTTAATTTTCTTATATGCCAATTTATTCTTTAAATGCCTTGAAAGTAAAATTTAATAGTCTCAGGAACTAAAAGATGGATTTGATTTTATATTCCTGTCATGGCACCCATGGAAATGTCTACATTATAAGATATTACTATTGTCATTCTGCAGTTTAAGCCGTTTGGCTGACTC